GCTGTCCGGAGGTTAACCACGTAGCATGGATGCTTTCTTCGGATAAGTGTACTGCAGTGCCTGCTGACGCCTATGCAGTATCGTGTGCATGTGGTAGCTCCGCTAGTGGCAGAGCTGCCACATGCACATGGTCGCACCCTTCACGAGCAATTATAAGTATTTTCCTCGACCTCGGCGGTCATTTAAACGATACAGGTGATATGGGCCGATGATCAATTTACATTGGCGGCTGAAATTACCCCCACAATGACCTCGTGTGTACACGGCCGCGCTCTTCTCTCACGAATTTAGAAACTTTGCAACGCCCGCCGTAACTTCGCAAATTGCCCCTGGGCCCAGCCAACAGTGTTGAGGGATGCCCACACAGCGGATCGACCAAATCAATTTATGACTTCAATAGACAAGCATGTCGTCTCTTCGTCTGTCGAGCATATTCCAGTGTCGGCCGATTACCTTATGAAGAAGTTCTCAAATGCAAACAGTTGCACTTTTTGCGAGCGATGATAAGTGCTGTTCCCGATCCTTTGTATGATGACCATCACGAAATTGGCGGCTGAAAAGAAAAATGGGTCGTTAGCGGACAATGGCTGTTTTGATCAAATGATCTCTGGCAGCCCATTGCTACGAGCATCCGACCGCCCCATAGCCTGGTGGCGAACATCTGGCAGCCAAGAACAGACGCCTACAATCACGCACTGCGAAGGCAACTCTAGCACATGCATGCCGGCCGAAAGCATTCGTTTTATTCAGATGCTTCCTGACAGCGCATCACTCTATGCTGGAGAGACGGCTGCAGCGGCCATTGAAAAACTTTCGACGGTCAAAGAAAGATAATTGTTGCTCGTGATGGGTGCAACCATGTGCACATGAAGGTAATGTAGGAGCACTATTGCTCAATAACGTCAATCTTCCTTCAGCTGTAGACGTCTTTTCTTGCATATGACTATATGACAACGCGTTACGAACTACGACTGGTCAGTGCACATTCAGTTAAACGTTCAATTACGGTGGTGGTCAACATACGACAGCGCAGTAGCATGCAGTACAATGGCATAGGGAGAGTGTGGCTGTGTGCATCTAATAGCAGTGTTGGAGGGCTATCATCTGACTCTGAAACATGCTTGTCAGCCGACAGTATCCATTTTATGTAGTTAAGATCTCGACAGCGCCTCACTCAGTGCGGGAGGCGTAACCAGTAGATATTTGCAAAGTTACGACGGTCAACACCAAATTATTATCGTTGTCCTTGGCGAGTGTGATTGTGTGCATCGATAACGAACGATAACGATAACGAGACGATCCTCGATAGACATCGCCTCTTTTTCATATGACCCCTGGCGGTGAATTTTCAAATGCAACCGGCTCGAGCGTACGATGACCGCCAACATACGGTTACCGTGTGAAGAGCGCGACCGTGTGCTTTTTATAGCACTTCTGTAGAGCTACCAGGCTGCCCTGGAACACGCTTGTCGGGCGAAGGCATCCACTTCATTCGGTTGACCCCCTGTCATCCTATTACTTAATGCCGCCGGTCCGCCTGCAGCGGCGATTTGCAAAGTTACGGCCGTAATATAAAACAAAATTATATTGTGCACGGCGATTGTGACCGCGTGCACTCATAAGTTTCAGCCAGGTAATCGCCTGTACGGCATAGGCCTTGTTCACCAAAGACCGCCTTGCGTTTTCGGCGGATGTTGCTTCCACAAGTATTTTCCCTGCATTTCGCACTTTGGCCACAGCTCTGTGGGCTAGCCTGCCGCATTGAGTAATGTATCATCAGGCTGTCTAATGGATGGACGTAGCAGACGCTGTCCACCGACAGCTGGTTTCTTGTGCCGGCCAATAGCGCCCCACAGTCATATGATGGGCACGCGGTCGCATCCACCGCGCACGGCCATAGGCATTTGTAATTCTCCGCCGTACCTTTATAAATCGGCTCCGTGGCTGTCCCGGTGGCATGGAGTGATGTGCTGGCAGGAAGGCGTCCAAATAAAGTGGGTGCCATCGGGAGCAATCATGTTCCAGCTCCTAGTGAGATCCATGCAGCAGTGCTATCAAATGCACGCTGTTGCATCCTCCAGCACCGCCACGTCCACCTCTCGGAAGGTTGAAGTATAAGTGAGTGCTACGGTGGCGATTTCGCCCGGCTAGTAGGGCATCACTCGAACGTCATACGAACATTTCATGACGCTTTCAAACAATGACGTATTAAGGGCTATAGAAATCGTGTGTCTAGAGCAGTCGTTTCCACTTAAAAGCATACTTTTTTATAAATTTGGTCCGAATCCTTTGAATGGATGGATTTCTGGGATCAGCGCTCACGCTAAGCAGTGCTTGTTGTGTGAGCCCTGACCCCCATCATCCGATCGCGCAGTTCCAGGCAACGCCAGAATTTGGTGGCGAAAGTTTTACGTGCCGCAATGGTCGGCACGGTCCGTCCTGCCCTCTGACGTCAACTGACCTTTAGCGCGACCGCTGCCACCGGCCGCAGGCCATACCTGCCAAGGGCAAATAGCGAGCGCCCTAAAGCGACTCGAACCCATCCCGCCACGGATGGGTGGGTCGGAATGCAGGCGCTCTAACCAACTGAGCCACCGGGACGGACAAATATGCTTATATACACTTATGCTTAAATATGCAATATGCAATATGCAATACTTACACTTACTACTACGCTTATGCAATATGCTTAAATACACTTATGTGCATAAGTGAGCTTATTTTATGAAATCGGATGCTTGCCTCGATATTTAAAATGTGGAGCATGTCCTTAAACCCTTTGCATTGCTCAATGCTTGCGGGCCGGCAGCAGCGTCAATTTCAAAATTGCGGTTGGTAAATCAAATCACTTATTTCGTGCACGGCTTGCGTACCCGTGTGCACGTGACAGTATTGTGGGAGCACCATCGGCCAGAAGCGCAACTGGGTCGTCCATGGACAACGCCTGTTTCGTTGATACGGGCGTCCTGACGATGTACTACTGGGTGCGCCCGGCCGGCCCGCATCGTGGTGGCCAACACACGGCATCCCGGGAGGATAATGATAATCGCGCGCGGATAGTGCAACCGTGTGCATTTGATAGCATGACTGCAGGGCTATCAGCTGGCACTGGAACGTGTGTGTCGGCCGACGGCATTCATGTCATTCGGCTGAGCCCCTGGCGGTGCACCACTCAATGTTGGTGGTCCAGCCGCGCCGTCGCCTTGCAAAGTCATGGCGTTTAAATAAAAATAGTTGTCAGTTGCGGCGTGTGCGAGCGTGCGTCCATGATAGAAGGTTCTGAGCGGGCGGGGCAAATCTGTGGTTGGTGGACAGCGCCTGATTTGTTCGTGTGACCCCGTGACGACGCATTACAGGAGGCGGCCGGGCAGCCCCCAGCGTGGTTGCCAACGTGCAGCAGCCCGGGAAAAATACCGATGAGGAAGCAAGCTTGGGAGCCAGGCAAGTGTTTTCCCAGGACCAGGACTAACAGCAAAAAAAGCGTGATTCACAACGAACACCGCCGCTGTACGCTGCCTCGTGACGTGGACGTTTCTGGTGCTCGCAACCGTCACAGCCAGTGACTTCAGAGGAAGTTTTCAGGAGCGCGGATAGAGGCTAGCAGGGTGCGACCTGGCAGATCGGACCTAGCTAGCAGATCGGCCACCTGACACTCTCAGGGTGCCTTGCGCATGGTTTGACCATGATGGCACGAATGTTGGCTGCCGCTTGAACTCTTTACAAGGTGAGCTCGGCTGACCCAGATTAGAGGGCGCAAGGATGCGAGGTGGTGAAACCCATTAGACGTCCGGGCGCATCCGACTGGGACATTGTGACGTCTTTCTTCATGCCATGGAAAAAATCCTGCTGATCATCCAGTTCGAAATATTTCAAACTACCTGTCTTTTACTGTTGTGCCGATCGGCTGTTAGGCTTGTCGACTGTTTGTTCTTGGAATGGTTTTCCTCCGCACAAAATCAGCACCCGTGGTTTGGTGTTCCGCGGGCTGGGCCATGACCATTCTGTCCCGAGACTCCCCTGAGGCCCTGATTCGCATGCCGCTGTGCTGGGGTCACGTCTTACTTAGCCTCGGTGCCGGTGCCACTGGAGGAAACGAAGCATTTCATCGATTTAGCCATCGTTAGAGATTGACAGCGTCGACGTCACTCATCATTTCGAGGCATCTGTGTCTCGGTGGCGAGTCTGTCAGCCTGTCGCGTGCCTGGCGCGAGCACGCTTGCAAAACATCCATCGCTACACATGACGACGATCAACACTTACCAGGCACGAGACACGAGCCTCGCGCCTGGTGAGCTCACGCGGCACGAGCCGGCGACTCCTGACTTCCCGGCCGGTCTCCGTTGCACGCGCACTCGGTCGTCACGGCCGGGTGAGTGCAGCCGCTCCTGCGGCCGGCGCGAGATAACGAGACGGTCATGTCTCGCCGTGCGCGCTGGTCCGTGACGAGAAAGTGAGCGCGCCGTCACGCTGGCCCAGGCAGCCAGCGTCGCTCCGCGAGCGGAGCCGTGCACGGCAGGCCCGGCGGCCATTGGAAACTGCGTCGATCGCCGCCGACGGTTTCACCGCGCGAGATCGGCGGCCTCGGTCGCCGCCGCCGCCGCCGCCGATCCTGTGCGGCCTGTGCGATCCTTCGCCGTTGGCACTCGGAGCGCTGGTAGGCCGTGTGTGCCGTAACACACACACACGTACATACACGTGCGTGTGTGTGTGTGTTTGTGTTTGCGTCTTTTCCGTTTTTGTTTTTTGTTTTGTTTTTTTAGTTTAGCGTTGAGATATGTGCTCTTGCAGGAACCCAGCAGATCGTGTGCTTCAGCAGCACGTGCGGCGGTAAGTGCAATTCCCTCTTCAACGCGTGGCGTGGCACTTGCGGAACGCAGTGCAGAACGGATAGCTGACCGAAGCCGCTCTCTCAGCTGTCCCTCCAATATGCTCTTGGGTGTCTTAGCTGCGACAACCGTCCGTATGCACTAGCTCCTAGCGCGAGCTTAAAATCACCAGGCATTGGAGAGTTTTTCTCTTTATTACATGATAAATACACTACGCTGAAAGGCTGGGTAGGCTCGTGGTGGTAACAAAAACAAACTGAGGCAGCCGGCCGGACGTGGCGGCGGGGGAGATGCGTGTAGGAAGGGCGAAGGCTGCCGGCTCTCAGCGATGGTAGTCGCCGCCGCCCACCGAGTAGCGGGGGAGGTCGAAGTCTGCCGGCTCTCAGCGATGGTAGCCGCCGCCGCCCACCGAGTAGCGTGGGAGATGCCGGGGGAGGTCTAAGGCTGCCGGCTCTCAGCGATGGTAGCCGCCGCCGCCCACCGAGTAGCGTGGGAGATGCCGGGGGAGGTCTAAGGCTGCCGGCTCTCAGTGGTGGTAGCCGCCGCCGCCCACCGGGTAGCGAAGGAGATGCGGGGAAGGACGAAGGCTGCCGGCTCCCAGCGGTGGTAGCCGCCGCCGCCCACCGGGTAGCGGAGGAGATGCGGGGAAGGACGAAGGCTGCCGGCTCTCAGCGGTGGTAGCCGCCGCCGCCCACCGGGTAGTCGGCGTACCAGCCGAAGGCGCCGTAGCCGCCCGTGTACGCGCCGTAGTCCACCTGGTCACCGCCGTAATCGCCTCCCGCCTGACGCACGAACCTGATAACGGCACGCACCATTAGAGGGGTCTTCCATTGGACGATGGCCGATATTTCAACCGACAGCACATAGATGGGATATGGGCCGTTCTACAACAGATGAGCAACATCCATGCGCTGCTCGACAACTACACGAGATATTTCATGGAGCGAGTCGATGCTCTGCGACTTCCTGGTATCCACCTGCCCGCACAGGTCGCCGCCTCCATGGCACCGATCGACACAGTTAGGTGCTTACGATACGACAAGCAGCTTGTGGGCTCGTCTACATGCCGAAGCGAATTATACTGGGTGATGTAATATCTAATTGTTTTTCTTACTCATCAGTCATACACGTTCTGTCCACGGGAAGTCCTTGACATAATTCGAAACAAGTACGGAGTGCTCCTTTGCGCGTAACAATGAAGGCATGGAAGACTGCAATGCAAACACGTGAAGGCATTGTGTTCACAGCGGAAGTACAGAACGAAGTCCTAGGGCTACTTTGAACTGGCCAATGCAAGGAATTCACCGTTTCCTTTTATTGAAAACAGGCCGCTACGTATTTATTCCGGGTTTTGTCATCGCCGCCTAACTTCAATGCGACAAGTCTTGAGTCGTGCCAGGGCCAAAGCATAAACAGCGGCTTCACGTTGCTGGTCCTGGTGCTGCGACTGCACTCAGGCGGTCGGCGTATTTACTGGCCCTCGGAGGCGAAAGCCACCGAAGCTCAGACGGGGATGACACCCCTGCATGCCTCAAGGCCGTGGCCCGTGGTCCCATCGTCCCGAACAGAGCCAGAGCCAACACCAGTGCTCAGGCAGAGCTCGGTGTGGTTTACCTCGCGCACCTCGTGTCATCACCCACCCTCGGGGGGGGGGGCGTCCTCATCCGCTCTCCTTGGAGATGTGCGCCTCCACCTATCCTCTTCGCGGTGTGCGCGTGCTTACCGGTCCTCGGAGGGCTGCGGCACCTGGCGCAAGTAGTGGGGCTGCGGGTCAGCCACCTGGACCTGGCGCGGTACGCGCACGCGCGGCGCCAGGTAGCGCAGATCCTCGATCGGCACCAGGGCGTAGCGCGGGCGTGGCATGGCCACGGCCACCGCCAGCAGCGCAGTCAGCACCAACTGCCGACAGCGGTACCGCCGTCATCACACGCTGTACGGAGCAGCGCGGGCGCTCGGGGTGCGGCTGGCGCCGGGTGTAGCGCTCAAGAGACGTCCTTTAACCTGAGCGCTCCTCATGAGCTGGCCAACTTCTCCGACGCTAGCGCCGTGACCCTGACAACGTGACCTTAAGACACCGTTGTTGTGATTATGACACTGACATTGACAGCATATGGAAGATTGCCGACTAAAATCGCAAACATGCGTACTGCATTGTCAAGCCAACTCTGAAGTAATGAAGGTATGGAAGTGTCTATGACGAACAGTGAGCGCTTCTAAAGCCGTTGTGGGCCGCGACCTTTTGCTGGCCGGGACAACTTATGATTCATGCAGAACAGTGGCCATATTCATGAACGAGAAGTCGTTAGACTAGGGAGCGCAGCCAATGGAATATTGCACACATTGAAAATCATAATTGGGACTGAGGTCATGCGTGGATCGAGACCCATCAAAAGAATCGCTCCCCTCGAAAAGTGCGAACTAGGCTGTTTCCCACACCACGTAGCAATTTTGACGCAGTTATTCATAAGTCGTCTGATGCTGTCTGCACGCCTCCGATTCGAACACACGCACGGGTGTGTAGGAACATGTGTACAACAAGACAGCGAACGGTGTTTCTGATCACACACTTGAGCTGCTTCGTTCCCTTTCTGAACAGCTGAAAAGATGTGCGCTGACACTCCACACCTGCATCGGTTTGAAGTTGGGCAACAGGCTCCTTATGCTACAAGCAGTAATTTGGTGGTGCTCGTGGAAGCTGTTCAGGAGTCGAATGGAAATGTGCGTTTTAAGGTATCTAGCATTAAAGCGTGGCGGGGATGGACGTGGTAAAGGCCTTGCGAGAAATGGTAAGGCTGCATGAAGAAGGTATATTAGTTTTGCTATATTATGTATATATATATATATATATATGTATATATATATTTATTTATTTATTTATTTTTTATATACGCGTGTACATGGTGAGATTATATACTATCATAGGAGACCCGGCATCTATCGTAAATGAAATATGTCTCTATGCATGAAACTGGTCTGCTGGCACGTAAGCGCGGCTTATTACAGCACGTGCTATGCTGCGTGATGTGCCATAGCTCAATACACGATATAATACGGATGATGCTAACGCATGCTCACAAAATAACGAGGCACTCATTTCTTCGGGCTGACAACGCGTCGGCCGAAAACGTGCCGTCATTACCGCCGACATCGACCGCAGCGAACTGGCCGCCATGGCCGGTACTCACCAGTGTGGAGTTCATCCTCTGGGCAATGTCGGCACAGTGGCGAAACGAAACTCGGTTGGCCCTTTATACTGCCGGCGCGGCGCGGCGGGCTGGCGTGGCGAGCACAACCGCCGGAGAAAACCGGAGCAGCGCCACACCTGGCCGGGAGCGGCGGCGGCGCCGGTCACGCTCGGCCGTGCGCGGCTGCCGCCCGGTCAGGTCGGCTGGGCCCTGGCACGGCCTGCGGGCTGGGCTACAGGCCGCTCAGGGCACGCGGTCGACCCCGGTCAGGTCGACCGGGCCCTGGCACGGCCTGCGGGCGGGGCCACAGGCCGCTCAGGGCACGCGGTCGACCCCCGGTCAGGTCGGCCGGGACCTGGCACGGCCTGCAGGCGGGGATGCGGGCCGCTCAGGGCACGCGGTCGACCCCCGGTAGGTCGGTGTGACCTTGGTGGGCGACTCGGCTTGTGTGAGGGGACGCAGACGCTTTGGTTAGGGGTGAGGCGGCGGACGTAACGGGTCTTTGTGTGACCTCTAGCGGTTCGGTCCTTCTGATGCGTGGTTGGACGGTGGTCTGCTTCACGTGTCATTATAAACTTCATTTTCACTGATCTGTTAGATCAGTTCGCTCACGCACGGCTCGATATATGTTTGCCAGCCGTCACCATCACGCGACCTTGTCGCAACAAATTCAAGAGTTTTGATAATCTAGGGATTAGTCAGCGAGAGGTAAAGTAATGTGATACTCCACCGGCCTCATGCCAGGTCAGGTCCTGCCCCACTCAAGGGTTTGTGTGTTCAAAGGTTCGATTCCTGGCATATCCAGGACTTGTCAGAAGTCAGCTGGAAATTATAGCATGTCTGTGCACTTGCCATGGTTTGTTGATGTCTTTGTCGTGTATTATCACTAACACGCGCTCGGGTGGGGGGTAAATTGAGCCTCCGAAGGTCTTCCGGAGTGGTTTCCGAACGGCGTGGCGTAGCTGCGCTAAATTTTGCATAGCTGTAGGCAATTGAATAGCAGATCGTTTGACATCACAAACTTAGATGTACCTTGTAAGGTCGCTGACCTATGGCAGGTCAAAGTCAGGCCATGGTTTCAGCGAAGTAAACTTCTAGGGAATCGTTCAATCTGATCCACCAGCAGAGTGTTAGACGACGCCATACATCTCTGAGAAGTTTTCTCAGGGAACACAAATATTGGATGAGCAAATTAGGTTGACCCAAGGTCAGGTATAAGGGTCAGACCAGGGTCAAAACCAACCTGTCTTATTACTGCGGGGCTTGCTGTGTGGGATAGTTTCTGGTGCCCATTTTGAATTTGTCGATAGCAGAAACCGCATTATGCATCTTCCATGGACTTCTTAGAGGTCAGAATAGGTCATTGACCTAAAATGACCCATGTGAACATTTTATTTTTATTTAGAAACAGCTATCTAGGTTCTGAGGGCACTTCGGAGACCAACCTGGAATTTGACCTTGTTTGACCTTATATGACCAGAAGGTCATGACCTAGGAGCCTCAAACCTTGACCTAAGTAATTTCACGTACAGGTCAACACACCCTCCGAATGTGGTCCCTCTAGCTCTCTTAGTTCCTGGACATCTCAGAGGGGTCAAATTGACCCCCCACCCGAGCGAAGGATATCTAGCCGGCCACCCGGGCGCGTTATGTTTTGATTCGTGTTACATTTCGTTCTACTCAGTCCAATGTAACAGCCATTCCATACTCTTCCCGAGCACAATACACAAAACTGGCTATGCTGTAGTTGTTCAGGATAAAATGGAACTGGATGCGCATTTTTCGGAATTACCTCTGTCTTATTCTAGTAAAAGTTCAACTATAACGCACGTTTGTCAAGTTTGATTCCGGTCAATTCTACAGCCTCACACGCCTCGCCTCGCCGAGGTCTCCTCGTGGCCACTCGTGGCGAGTCCGGTATCGCGGCCGCCCATGCTGCCAGTCTCACCTGAGAACCCGTGCGTTCTCTGTTCTCACTCTACGGTCTGAGTCCATGGCGGGCAAGCATTGAATTCGGAGCTAACGCGAGGGGTCCGCAACAAGAACCCAGTGCTTACCTCTTCTTTATTCCCTAGTTCCGCAGCCGTCTATGACGTCACCGATTTTTGGTAGACCCAAACAAAAAAGACGCCTGCTGAGTGTGTGGATGATCACAGTGAATGCCATTGATTCCACCAACGCACGCCATTGCAGCACATTTTTAACTTGGTACCAGACGACCCCACGATAAGTTGTTTTGAAATGGAAAATATTTATATACATGTCTATATATGTATAAATATATATATATATATATATATATATATATATATGTTAAGTATATTCATCAAAAACGATGCCCGGTCAAAACAGTTTGCGTCCAACACACTTGTGCTTCTCAACTGCTTTGCTGCCAACACTATTTTGCAACACGCTCTGCTCACTTTTGTAAAAACGTTTCACTGCTCGGGGATATTTGACACATCAAAGATATTGCCCAGTTTTTTTATTCGGACATAAAATAAGAAGTACTTTAAATTGAGGCTTTATATTGCAAATATTAGCGACAAAACAAAATCATTGCTACTTTCACGCTTTCCTTGGGTTGTTTTTTAACCCACGGCGTCAGAGCGACAACGCCAATAATGATACCGTTAATTAAGTTAGTAACGTAACAGTCGAGCAGGTGACAAAATGTGGCACGGTGCACCGAAGCAGCGAGCTGCTATCTCAGATTGCCAACTGCCTAAATATTCATATGGACCACGCATTGGCGAAATCCTGGATGCTTCGCCAGATATCCCCTCTGTAATAGTACTTTGCAGAAATATCACGCTGTAGGGAGACCGGTGGGCAATTTTCCAGATTAAGATAATGTTCACCAAAAATTGAGATATGGCGGCACCCAGTTTTAATTTTTCACAACAGCATGCATTAGTCTGTTTATTGGTGAGCTCAATCACTTCAATTGGCTTGCTCAGTTTATTAGCAGCATGGCTGGAGATCTGGGAATCTGGAGAGGTTTGCGTCCGTAATGACGAAAATAGCACAACGCCAATGACGTAGGCAAGCGACTTCAAACCATGTTTATCAGAACTATCCGGACCCCATTTATCACGAACTAACACATCCCGGTATGAGGGTAACGACCCAGCCGTGTGGGACCCCCGTGACAGCCATTACACATTACAGCCCGATTTATGATCCAATGCGCTGTAAATTATTGGACCTTAAATGAATAGGTTTCGCTAACTTTCGCGTGTTATGATCTTGAAGCATCGCCACCGCTGACACGGACGCGCACGTATGCCGTGAAGACTGGGCTAGTCTTGGATGGACACAGCCATGTACGTATGCCGTGAAGACTGGGTTAGTCTTGGATGGACACGGCCATGCACGTATGCCATGAAGACTGGGCTAGTCTTGGATGGACACGGCCATGCACGTATGCCATGAAGACTGGGCTAGTCTTGGATGGATACGGCCATGTACGTATGCCGTGAAGACTGGGTTAGTCTTGGATGGGCACGGACACGCACGTATGCCGTGAAGACTGGGCTAGTCTTGGATGGACACGGCCATGCACGTATGCCGTGAAGACTGGGCTAGTCTTGGATGGACACGGCCATGCACGTATGCCATGAAGACTGGGCTAGTCTTGGATGGACGCAGCCATGTACGTATGCCGTGAAGGCTGGGTTAGTCTTGGATGGGTACGGACACGCACGTATGCCATGAAGACTGGGCTAGTCTTGGATGGACACGGCCATGTACGTATGCCGTGAAGACTGGGTTAGTCTTGGATGGGCACGGACACGCACGTATGCCGTGAAGACTGGGCTAGTCTTGGATGGACACGGCCATGCACGTATGCCGTGAAGACTGGGTTAGTCTTGGATGGACACGGCCATGCACGTATGCCATGAAGACTGGGCTAGTCTTGGATGGACGCAGCCATGTACGTATGCCGTGAAGGCTGGGTTAGTCTTGGATGGGCACGGACACGCACGTATGCCGTGAGGACTGGGCTAGTCTTGGATGGACACGGCCATGTACGTATGCCGTGAAGACTGGATTAGTCTTGGATGGGCACGGACACGCACGTATGCCGTGAAGACTGGGCTAGTCTTGGATGGACACGGCCATTTACGTATGCCGTGAAGACTGGATTAGTCTTGGATGGACACGGCCATGCACGTATGCCGTGAAGACTGGGTTAGTCTTGTATGGACGCAGCCATGCACGTATGCCATGAAGACTGGGTTAGTCTTGGATGGACACAGCCATGCACGTATGCCGTGAGGACTGGGCTAGTCTTGGATGGACACAGCCATGTACGTATGCCGTGAAGACTGGGTTAGTCTTGGATGGGCACGGCTATGCACGTGTGCCGTGAAGACTATGCCAGTATTGGATGCCCTCCCCTGTTAAATGACACCTTTTTCAGTTCTAAATAGGGAGCAAGTTTAGTTTCCAGGCATGCCTACTGACGAACTGCTGAGTTAATACAAAACATCAGATATCAGTACACTCGCCTACAAGCATAGAAAAATATCAGGCATCAGTACACTCGCCTTCAAGTATAGCAAAACATCAGACGTCAGTACACTCGTCTACATGTATAGCAAAGCATCAGACGTCAGTACACTCGCGTTGTAAGTAGCGCTTTCGGTGAGGCCTTCTGCTCCAAGGCTCCTATGTGCTAGCACATGGAAGTGGAATGTGGACTCATTAGTGCTTCTGATGTATCCTTAAAATACCAACCAGATAGTTTCAGTAGTTCACGTACTAAATGGCTCAGTTGCGTGCAGCTGGCCTGTAACAATAACCAAAGGTAATGCTCCCACCGACATTCAGCTTGGGCTGACTCGCGGCCAATGGTGTTAATCTCACCGTCTGCCCAAAAGGCGAATTTTACGGCTATCAATGCGTTAACGACGCCCTTGGAAAGCTATCAGAGTACAAAGACTAGCGCAATGTCAGTGCATAACGAAGTCCACAGAAGTTCCATTGGAGCAGCTTATCCGGACAGGAGCAACCAAAAAAAAAGAGATGGAAAAGGTCTTGTTAGTCCTACCACACGAATGTGGTCGGTTCTTTCGGAAAGACGTGTCTAAA